CATTTTGCATTTTTCTCTTATGAAATGAATCCCCTGAACTCTGTATTGCTGAACATACTGCACTGCCTTTATGTTGAGCCAAACCATTGATTCACCTATCTCGGTATTATCTCTATCTTTCCCCAACCTGGTGCCCTTCAGTTGTTTTAGCCTACAGTACCATCATTCCTGGCCATTGACCATGCTGGCTGGGGACACTCAAACAAATAAACTATATATTTAAGTATGTGTATTTGTATTTGAGGAGGGACGCGGCGCTATTTGAGGAGGGTGGCGCTGTGGGTTAAACCACAGAGCCTAGGACTTGCCGATCAGAAGGTCAGCGGTTCGAATCCCAGCAACGGGGTGAGCTCCCATTGCTCGGTCCCTGCTCCTGCCAACCTAGCAGTTTGAAAGCACGTAAAAGTGCAAGTAGATAAATAGGTACCACTCCGGCGGGAAGGTAAACGGCGTTTCCGTGCGCTGCTCTGGTTCGCCAGAAGCGGCTTAGTCATGCTGGCCACATGACCTGGAAGCTGTAAGCTGGCTCCCTCGGCCAATAAAACGAGATGAGCACCACAACCCCAGAGTCGGTCACGACTGGACCTAATGGTCAGGGGTCCCTTTATGTTATTTGTATTTGAAAAAGCTCTAGCACTCAGATCCCACTGTGGGCTCCCAAGTTTGATCCCTGTATGGGACAGCTGCATATTCCTGCATTGGGCTCAAACCACCAACCTTCTGGTTAACAGCAAGATGCAGCTGTCCTATCTGTGCCCTCCAGATAGTTTGGTTTACAACTCCCATCAACCCTCCCTGCTGTAGAAAAAGGGGTGAGTGAAAACCTACATCAGGAGCAAGGGGGAAGTAAATATCTACACCGGGATTTGCTGCCCCTATGGATCTTGCCACCTGAGGCCCTTGCCTCATGGGCCCTGCTAGGATATTAGAATGCAAGCCACCAGACCCCTGACCAAAATCTGAATCAATGAACTCTGCCTTTCGGCTGCTTCCCTCAAGCACAGTGCTTTTCACTGGAGTTCCTTCATACAATCTGCAGCTCCACGTTCAGTGATGCGCCTGCAGATGTAACTAGGTCCTCATCATCAACCCCACAATTTTAGTGGTTGCGTTCAACTGGTTGTGTTATTCAAGTTACCATAGGTAACTGTAGATACATGTCATTTTCAGAATGGTCAGGTGAGGAAAAACACACAGATCACCTGGTCCTTACAAACCCATAACTTATCTTCACTCTTCCTGAAACACTCTTCTGATATCGAGCAGTTAGGCACACATTAGCTAAAAGATAGGAAAGTTTTGTGAATGGCTTAATTTAGAGTTTGTAAGGAACCCAATTTATTTATAACAGTAATGGTTGTCTACCTTCCGTCATCCCCTGGCAGCATATAGCGACACACCAGTTTTCTTTGGACTTTATTACACTGGTGATTTATTGAAGAGATATTTGTATCTTTGGAATCTTAAAGTAAACATTTTTAGCTCACTATTCTTGTTTTGAGACTGAAGGACGTTTCTGTGTTAAAGCAACGTGAGTGGGTTGGTTTTGACATTACTTAACTACAGATGTATCACCAGTTTAGAACGCCTTATAAGATATCCCTCCTCACATAATTCCTCTCTTTAAAAACATGTACCTTGTCTTGAAATTGAGCTGCATTTTTGCACCTGTTTTAGGGAATCTAGTTGCAGACTTTTATTTGTTTGATGATTGCCATTGTTTAACTTCTTTTGATTGGGAAAGTTTGAGGTGGGTAAGGAGCTGTAGAAATGTTTTTTGTGTTTTTGTTTTGTTTTCTGCCGTTTGGAGTGGGAGAATACCAAGACGCAATCAATTAAATTGTCTGGATTCTTTGGCTGGAATTTGGAATGTGAAACTTAATAGATCAGAATGAGCCTGTTTATAAAGAATCTGAACTAAAGATTTGTATAGAGATGGCTGAGGTCTGTTCCTTGTCTCGATGGCATTTCAGATCTGTTTCCTATCACGGTCCAGATCTGCTCTGTGTCTGTTTCAGTGGTTCAATAAGGTGCTGGGCTTATTAAAGAGGTGGAGCTAGTAAAAGTCAATGTCATACTCTTAAAACACCCTCAATATGTTAATGTGACACAATGCAGCATTCATTTGGATTTTGCTGTAATCTACAGTTTGCGGTAGTAGATTTGGAATAGGGTCCTGTTCTTGCTTTAAGTATGCCTCTTGCTTTCTCTCGCCTTTCACCCTTTCTTCAGCCTTCCAGAAAAAAAGATGCTGTAAAAAGCAATGCTATTCTAGGCTGCATCAACAGATGCACAGGAACAAGGAAGTAATGTTGTTGTTGTTGTTTAGTCATTTAGTCGTGTCCGACTCTTCGTGACCCCATGGACCAGAGCACACCAGGCATTCCTGTCTTTCACTGCCTCCCGCATTTTGGTCAAACTCATGCTGGTAGCTTCGAGAACACTGTCCAACCATCTCGTCCTCTGTCGTCCCCTTCTCCTTGTGCCCTCCATCTTTCCCAACCTCAGGGTCTTTTCCAGGGAGTCTTGTCTTCTCATGAGGTGGCCAAAGTATCGGAGCCTCAGCTTCACGATTAGTCCTTCCAGTGAGCACTCAGGGCTGATTTCCTTAAGAATGGATAGGTTTGATCTTCTTGCAGTCCATGGGACTCTCAAGAGTCTCCTCCAGCACAGTAATTCAAAAGCATCGATTCTTCGGCGATCAGTCTTCTTTATGGTCCAGCTCTCACTTCCATACATCACTACTGGGAAAACCATGGCTTCAACGGACCTTTGTTGGCATAGTCCCACTCTATTCTGCCTTGGTCTGACCCCACCTGGAGTACTGTAGCCTGCTCTGGGCACCACAGTTTAAGAAGGATATTGACAAGCTGGAAAATGTGCAGACGAGGGCAACCAAGATGATCAAGGTTCTGGCAACCAAGCCCTATAAGGAACTGTTCAGGAAGTTCGGTATGTTTAGCCTGGAAAAGAGGAGACAGAGAGGAGATATGATAGTCACCTTCAAATATCTAAAGGGTTGTCACATAGAAGACGGAGGAAGCTTGTTTTCTCCTGCTCAGCTGGGCAGCACCCAAACCAATAGCTTCAAGTTCCAAGAAAGGAGATTCTCACTAAACATCAGGAAGAACGTTCTGACAGTAAGAGCTGTTTGACAGTGGAATGATCTCCTTCAGGAGGTGATCGGCTCTCCTTCACTAGAGGTTTTTAAGCAGAGGTTGGATAGCCATCTGTCTTGCATGTTTTAGTTGACACTCCTGCATTGCAGGGGTTTAGACTAGATGACCCTCAGAGTCTCTTCCAAGTCTACTTTTGTATGATTCCATGATTCTAAGATTCGAGAGGCCTTTTGATTCTGTTCTGTTACGTATCCAGCAGGTTTCGCAGTGATGAAAATGTAGACAAAAGAAAAACAGAATTCTAGCTAGGAGCAGATCATGGGGTGCATATTTCCCCCCCTAAAATATGCTGTAACCCAACTTTATTTTAAAACAACATATAGTTCCCCAACTCTCTCTACTCAAAACTCTGCATAGATATGTGCTTCTGTTTAAACCAGGGGTCAGCAACCTTTTTCAGCCGTGGGCCGGTCCACTGTCCCTCAGACCGTGTCGGGGGCCGGACTATATTTTTTTTTGGGGGGGGAAATGAACAAATTCATATGCCCTCAAATAAACCAGAGATGCATTTTAAATAAAAGCACACATTCTATTCATGTAAAAACACCAGGCAGGCCCCACAAAATAACGCAGAGATGCATTTTAAATAAAAGGACACATCCTACTCATGTAAAAACACGCTAATTCCCGGACCATCTGTGGGTCAGATTAAGAAGGCGATTGGGCCGCATCCGGCCCCTGGGCCTTAGGTTGCCTACCCCTGGTTTAAACTGCCATGTTTTTCTTCTCAGCCTTTCTCCAACCCTGGTTTACTCAAACTTCTGCCATTGCTTAAAACCACCAATCCGCCCTCTCAGTTTCTCCCTGTCCTTGCTTTATTCAGATGTCCACTGTTGTTTGAAACCACTGTTTTCCTCCATCACTGCTTTCCTCAAACTTCTGCCACCATTTTAAACTATTACCTTCCCTGTCTCAGTGTCCTTTACTCCTTGCTCTCATGCCACAGCCACTGTTGTCGTTCAACTAGCCTTCTCTTTTGCTCCTCTTCCCCGTATTGACCATGCAAATACAGGAATGTGATGGGGCACTTCAAATCCTTCAGTGGGGCCGGGCAGTGGTAGCATTACGTTTTTACGCACATAAGATATTTATTGAGTGTTGACCCAGTATTTGAATTGGTGGGATTGGGCTAGACCTCTATGAGTTGTGAGACAAGGCTTACTCTGGGAATGTGACTTCTCCTAAAAAGCATATATCTATGTTTATTCCAGCATGCTTGTGAAGGAGTAAGCTAGCCAGCTTTCACGCTGGCACTGACTTCAGTTTTTGAGTGAGAGAGCACTCTAATATCTTGCCCCCTTGGATCCCGAGTTTGCTAAATAAATCATATTGGTGGCTTGTCTTACCTCTTCAAACAATAACTGGAAACAATAGTACTACTATGATAGAGGTTAGGAGCAGAACACGGGTTCCAAAAATGGGAAACAAGCAGGTAAAATTAACATTTGGCTGGAGCCTTGGGAAAATGCTAGCAGTGAAGGTTCTTTGTGCGACCGAACCGAAATCTGAGAAGTTCAAGAAACACTCTCACAAGGTAGCTTTGTGCTAGCAACTGTTGATTATGAAGAGAATGGAGCTAACTGTGTGACAGATATACAAGATATTGGTTACCACTCCTTCAAGTGCTTTATCCCTACCCCATCTTAAAATCTTACAGGGAAAGAGAGAGAGAGAGAGAATGTGAAAGAATGCAAACGGATTCCTAGTATATCTGGAATCAAAGTGATGTCAGAAACAATGCTCGAATATTTAAACCTCATTTCCTTGGACTGAAAAGCAAGGATGATACTGGTTTTGACATTAATAATGAACTCGATATACGTATAGCTCAGTTGGCTAGAGCATGGTGCTGATAGTGCCAAGGTTGCAGGTTCGATTCCCTTATAGGATAGCTGCATATTCCTGCATTGCAGCGCGGTGGTCTAGATGATCCTCGGGGTCCCTTCCAACTCTACAATTCTGATTCTATGATTCACCTGAGTGGATGTCATAGAATCATAGAATTGTAGAGTTGGAAGGGATCCGAAGGATCATCTAGTCCAACCCCATGCAATACAAGAATCTCAACTAAAGCGTCCATAACAGACGGCCATGTCAAAGCCACTGGATTAAATAAGCAGAAGAAGGTGGCTGAAATTCCCTTTTAATCTTTTCTTCTTTTAATTTAATAGAAAAATACAAAATGAAGGACACTTTCAGAAATATACCAAATAAGCAAATGACTCCAAGCACAATTCTAAAACTGATTCTGTTTATTCAAAAACAATGTATTACCTTATATGTTCATATCTTACCCAATCAAACATTCTGTTCCCATCAAAGTCCTTGTGACCATTCCTGTTTTTCCAATTAATATTAAAGGTTTTGCTACTGGTGCTGCCATTTAACCTGGCCTGATACCCAAGATGTCATGAATTCTGATCTATTCTTCATGTACTTCCAGTTCTGTGCACTACAGGAAGGAAGATATATAAGACATCAGTTCTTGGGAACATTTCTGCTTGCTATATATATATATATATATAGGCTTGTTTCTAGCTTTTACGTCTGCAGAAAGTTTGTGAATATATGATGGCAAAAAGTTTCCACTGTAGTACAGTGTTGAATAATATCCCCATTCCCAATTAGGAGCCTGATGTGCTCTTTGACCTTTTTGCTATGAGTAGCCTGCATGCCACAGTTCTGAAGTTTGTGCTGATAATTTGGTTAACTAGTTGGAATAATAGCAAACTTGTGTAATTCTTTGGCAACAACAAAGCGCTTGTTTCTTCAGACAAATGGGGACCGGTTTGAAATGCGAAAACAAGTAGGAGAAATGGCAGAATGTGTATTGACATTTCTTCCCCTTGTGGAATGTGCCTGCTTGAGTGGATTATGGTTCCAAGAGTGTGGTTTTGTTTGAATTGGCTTGGGTAGAAGATCTGCTTTCAAATAATTAATGGACCTTTTGATCCGGAGACTTTCAAGTTCTTCTAAATAATCTTGATCTTCAAGTGGGATATAGAGGTGGTCGGTCAGTTGACAGGTCCAATTTTGCTGCCTTGCAGTGACGTAATGAGTAACCTCTGGGACAGTATTACTTGGCTGCTTTTTCTGTTGCTCTCCTGGAAAGAAAATAATACACGAGATGGGGACCAGCCCTCCAAGGCTCTGTGCTTTGCCATATAATGAAGCAATAGATTCCACCATTTTGTAGTGGATGCCACATTTTCCCAGAATCCTCCATGCTTTGAAATACTTCTTCACAAAGCTTTGTGTTTTTGTTCCTGAGTGCTGTGAAAATCGCGTCCCCACCCCCTTTTCTTTAGTATGCATGTAAAATTACACGGCCTATTTATTCCTTATCTCCTTATTATGCTTCTGGTAGCTGTTAAGGTAGAGTAGCTTAGCTTGTTGGGTTGCCCAAACCCTTGCTTTTCCATGGCCTCCCCTGGTGTGGTAATGCCTCCTAGTGCTGCAGCCAAGTCCCCACGACCAGGAAGCCCCCCCAGCATGCCAGGGTGTGTGGCTGCAGTGGTGGAAGAGCACAAGGTGGTGGGCAGGGTTGGGGGCATCAGCGCCAATCCTGCTGGGGATGCTTAGTCACCCAATCACCGTTGCTTAGCGGTCAGATGGAAGGAATGTGAGGCATTTCCTGTATCTTCCTTGCTGAAGAGATTCACCCTCTTCAACAAGAACAACTTAACAGTGAGAAACGGGTACAGTGGTACCTCGGGTTGAGTACTTAATTCGTTCCGGAGGTCCGTACTTAACCTGAAACTGTTCTTAACCTGAGGTACCACTTTAGTTAAAGGGGCCTCCTGCTGCTGCTGCGCCGCCGCCGCTGCACAATTTCTGTTCTCATCCTGAAGCAAAGTTCTTAACCTGAAGCACTATTTCTGGGTTAGCGGAGTCTGTAACCTGAAGCGTATGTAACCTGAAGCATATGTAACTCGAGGTACCACTGTATTGGGAAAACAACACATGATGCATTGTGCCTTTAACAGCTGTGTGGCTGGCACAAATTAAGCAGGGTAAGTCTTCTATAATGTGGAAATAAAATTACGAGGAAAGCTTCATCTGCTGACATTCTGTCCGTCATGCATGTTCTTACTTATATTTGCCCCCCGGTTTATTTTTGGATCCTATACTTCAGCACAGCAGCTTGTAATGATATGGCTACTGGTTAAAAATGGCCGAGGGTGAACCTTTTTTTGAATCAAAAGGTTCATCTGAATGAACTTTGAACTCAGCTGTTTCGTTTTGTAAAAGACAAACTGAAACTAGTTACCTTTTGAACAGGATTGAACTAGAATGTCTTTCTATTTAAAATGAAGTGTGCTACAAAGCAAAATGTGTCAATAGTAAGAATGGTAGTAATGAGAAGCTAACAATTTTTCACTTCCTGAAACAATGCATGAAATTTGCACTTCTCCGAATTTTGTGAAGCATTTCTTCACCCAAAAAGGTGCATATATTAGAGGGAAGTGTGCAGGAAAATGCTTGTTAGTGAAAATAACATACAAAAAACCATTATATGCTTTGCTTGGAAAAAGAGGAAGAGAAAGCAAAACTGTGTACAAAACTGTGCACTAAAATGCTGACTGTTTTCATGCGGACTTTTTTTTAAGGAAACTGATGCAGAAATCTGGCAAACTGGATTTAGGATTGGAAGGCGAGACATGGAGAGAAGCAAAAATTGACAGTCTCATCTATTCCTAAATGGTAGTATTCTGCCCACTTATATAGTGGTATTTTTGTAACCAGCAAGGGAAGTCACAGCCAGGATTGATATGTAATCCACAAAGATTGGAAAGGTGTAGTGGGATAATTCAATTTTTCTTTTCTTTCCCAGGTCAAAAACAAGAGACGCATGTAGAAAATAATGGAGAAAACAGAGATCCTAGTATAGCTGTGTGGTTGGGCAGGAACATGCCCTTCCCACAAGAGATGGATTAAGATTGGTTTGAAATGGGTTCATTTCAATAGTTTCTCTAAATCTGGGCCTAAAAGATCACATATAGTTGCACTGGCTGCAGTATAGCAGTGGACATTCATGAGATTCCAGTATACATACGAATGTATGCTTTCTTGCCTGGCAGCTTCCCGCACAAAACCGCTGAATAATGATCTACATTCTCCCAAGCTTAGAAAGCAGGTTTCATTCCAACAGGGGAGTTTGGCAAAAGGAGCTGTAGGATGGAAGGCAGCCTCTGAGACCCTGATGAGGGTACACATAACTCTGTACCGGGTCAGGGGTTTTATCTTCTAAGGACGGGTCAAGACTCGAGATTCTTAAAATAAAATCAAGGCAACAAATGAAGTGATGCTATCGAGCGGAAGAGTGCAATTTCGTGTGAACTGGAAACAGGGCAACAAAACACAGAAAGGAGATTTATGGCTTGCATTTTGCAGCAGATAAAAGAAATGCTTTCATCTCTGAAGTAACACAAAGATTTGGTTTTGCTTCTGCCAGATTTCGCAGGCGCGATTTCTCATGTGTGCGAGCCAGCAGTGTTTGCCAGATGCAGCTTGACTGTTTAGCTCTTGTGGGCCCAAGAACAGTCGAGTGGTGTCACAGGATACATCCCTAAAACATTTGTTTTCGTCTAGTTCCTGTAGGTCTTGTTAAGAAGGCCACAAACGTAGCTGATGGGAGGTAGAAAATCAGGAAGAGCACTGTAAATATGAGCTGAAATAGCTGTTGTAGTAGTTCTCAGTTTCATAGATCACCATTGGAGTGAACCTCCCTGTAATCTTTGGGTGGGGACACGGGTGGCGCTGTGGTCTAAACCACTGAGCCTCTTGGGCTTGCTGATCGGAAGGTCGGTGGTTCGAATCCCCACGACGGGGTGAGCTCCTGTTGCTCTGTCCCAGCTCCTGCCAAACTAGTAGTTCAAAAGCATGCCAGTGCAAGTATATAAATAGGTACCACTGCAGCAGGAAGGTAAATGGTGCTTCTGTGCGCTCTGGTTTCCATCACGGTGTTCCATTGCGCCATAAGCGGTTTAGTCATGCTGGCCACATGACCTGGAAGGCTGTCTATGTAAGCGTGGGGAAGGGTAAGATTCCTAGAACCTGTACTCCATCTAATTCTGTACTTTGGAAAAACGCATCAGGAAAGACTGCATTATGTCGCTTTAATTCCTCTCTAATTTATTCTGCTTTTGCTAATCCACGGGGATGGGAAATGAAGCCTTGCCCCTGTTACTGGAAACCTTGTTCAGATTTCTGTCTCTCTAAACTTGTGAGAATTCAGCAGGCAATACTTACATGCGTACAAACCTGTATTTTCAGCCAGAAGGATGAGAAATGCTTTAAAAACATGAAAGCCGGAGTTGACAGGAAGAGGAATTCTTTACCCCAACATCACACATTTTTGTGCTCTGTTGGAATTGTGGCATACATGTAGCCCCGATTCAAAGAGTTGCTTTTGGAAATATTAACTTGAAAGGAGTGTTTCTTCTCATAATTATTCTTATGTCTCCATAATAACTTCAGCAATGTTATCAACGCAGGCCCGTCAATCACCCCTCTCTTGAAGTTACGAGATTTTAGGGCTTTGGAATGCACATACTAATACATACACTGTACGGTTTGTTTCATAACATTCCCCCTTATGATTTAGCCTCTGATATTAGCATGGTTCTTCTTGCACAATCCTCTCCCATGTGGTTTCTATGTTTTTATGTTACCGGAGCAGCACTGGGAGCAGAAACCACGCTGTTCCAACAACGTAGGAATCTGGCTTTAGTTACATAGATTTCCATAGGATGTATGCAAGATTAACTATATGTAAGATTGCTGGCATGCATAGGTTTTTCAAGTGGATTTCCAGTAGCTACCATATGCCCAATGGTCATGTGAACTGGCTCCATCTGCTGCCAATTTTTTTTATATGTATAAAAACTTTTTATAAAATACATTTCCTCAGTGTTATTAGCAACAGATGTTCCTGCACACAAGCCTAACACACTTTGACTGTGACCCATTTGTTATAATAAATCCATATGACACACTTAAGAGTGTTTCCACTTGGTGTA